ATGTACAAATGCGCTTTACACAATTGATGTGTGTATGGATTGGGATAACAGTTGTATGAGCCCCTAATAAAATGTTAAAAAAAAAAAAAGAAAGGTCATAATTAGTTTTGGCATTTGATTATTTTAATTTAGGGGTTTTAACGCTATTACTATTATTTTTTTAAATCTCATTATTGCCCCTGAAACTTGGGGGAATAAAATATACAGGGTTTGAGAATGGAAGCAGTACCATTTTGGAACTGCTGAAAAAAACATAGTCCAGGATCCAATCAAATTGAGTAAGACCTCTATGTCTGAGACACACAGAACCCGAATGGAAGAGAATAGAGAAAGAAAGGTATCTAAATGTCTTAGAACAACAACAAAAATTTTATTTTCTCTTAAGAATTAGAGAACAGAATTTACACACAAAGTTTTATAGTGATGGCATTACATCTTGGTCTTCAGGATACTTCTGACAACCCTGTGTGATATTTTAGTAGGGTAGTACAGTACTCAATTCAAGGTAAGGAATAAAATCATAGTAACTTATTAAGACAAGGTCTTATAGTAAACTTCAAGTGAAGCAATTTCCCAGTTCATTTTAACGCCTCTGGGAATAACACAGGCATTCACAAAAGATCTTGGGGTGGTGAAATGGCCAATTCACTGGTCCTAAGTAGATTCTAAGATCAAAAAAGTGGCCTTACAAGCAAAATTGTTACATGACCCTCCGATTATTCTAAATTGATTAACAAAACTCCCATTATAATACTGGCCTAATTATTGAATCTACTGTATAAAAGAACAAAATACAGTGGGAAAATTATTGACCAGAGAAAACTGGCCAGTAGAGTCAATCTTTCCCACAGCGCATACTCTAAGTTATATGTAGCACTTCTCAAAACTAATCTCACTGTGAAATAGTAGTAAAATTTAACAATAATGAAGGTAAAACTTTGATGGAGATGATGAAGTGTCAAGTTTTCTTTTTGGTTTATTCTTCCTAGGCAGTAGTAAACTCAATAAAGATTTATTTGGGACCCTGCTTCTAACTAATCTATTAGTTAAGGATCACCTATATATGGAATGCAAAGCACACTTCGGTCCTACAAGGCAATAAAAAATCAATTTTACAATTAAAACATAGAATCACCTAATTCAAGGGCCATATTTAAAATATAAACATAGATATATAAACTACAGAAATATATATAAACTATAGAAAAAGTGGGTGATGGGAGACGGACATTGTAAGACATGACAAAATAATAATTTATAAATTTTCAAGGGTTCATGAGGAAAGGGGGAGCGGAGAGGGAGGGGAAAAATGAGCTGATACCAAGGGCTCAAAGTAGAAAGAAAATGTTTTGAGAATGATGATGGCAACAAATGTACAAATGTGCTTGACACAATGGATATGAATTGTGATAAGAATTGTATGAGCCTCCAATAAAATGATTTTAAATACATATATATTTTTTTTAAAATCATTTTACTGGGGGCTCATACAACTCTTCACAATCCATACATACATCGTGTCAGGCACATTTGTACATTTGTTACTCTCATCATTTTCAAAACATTTGCTCTCCACGTAACCCCTGGCATCAGTTCATCCCCCCCCCCCTCCCTCATGAACCCTTGGTAATTTATAAATTATTATTTCTTCGTATCTTACACTGTCTGACATCTCCCTTCACCCACTTTTCTGTTGTACGTCCCCCAGGGAGGAGGTTATACGTACATCCCTATAACTGGTTCCCCCTTTCTACTGCACCCTCCTTCCACCCTCCCAGTATATATATGTATGTATGTGTGTGTATGTATATATATATATATATATATACATACACACACATACATACACACACATATTCTTTAAAAACTTTTTAAAATTAATATATTCTTATACCAGTTGCTAAAACAATGAGAAATCATAAATGAAGATTCATTAATCAATATCACAACTTCAGTTGGCAAAATGTATCTAAAATGTCAAAGGAAATCCAATTTAACACTTTTTCCTACTCTATTTTAAAAGCTTAGTATTTTCATTTCTACATTCTTCCCCAAAGTACTCAATGAATAAACAACTACCACTCAAGTTCATGCTTTTCTTTAGAACAGTATTCAACTTCCTTTAGTACCTAAATATCAAAGAACAAATAGAAAAACATGGTGTCTAATATCTAAAAGCAGTTATTAGGCTAATCAGAAGATTTTACGATTAGTTCTGTGTATCGTATTTGAAAACACACACTAGGTTTTATCTGTCCAAAGGGTCAGATTTCTGTCATGTAAGACAGCATTTAAAAAATACAAAATAGGCAACAGAAAAGTGGGTGAAGGGAGACGTCGGACAGTGTAAGACATGAAAAATAATAATACTTTAAAAATTATGAAGGGGGAAGGAGGGAGGGAGGGAAGGGAGGGAGGGCAGGGAGGGAGGGAAGGGAAAAAAGGAGAAGCTGATACCAAGGGCTCAAGTAGAAAGCAAATGTTTTGAAAATGATGATGGCAACAAATGTACAAATGTGCTCTATACAATGGATGAATGCATGGATTGTGATAAGAGTTGTAGGAGCCCCCAATAAAATGATTTAAAACAAAAACAAAATAAAGCTGGGAATTTTTCCTTGAAGATTTAAATAAGGACAGATGCATAAAAAGAGTCTCTCATTTGGAGCTGACATTGAAGGTATGCAAGCGGAGGCTTAAGGACTCCTGCTAGAGATGCTGTAGAAGGAATCCTGGCTTTGTGTACAAGTTTGGATCAAATGTGTTCAGGGTTTCCTTCAACTTCCTTATAATATCAAGATGATCAAAAGGAAAATGGCTGTAATTTTTCCTATTTCCTAAATTGTATCATTTAATGTAAACTGAACGGTTATCTTACCTATGAGATTCTTGCTCTCCTCTCATTTTCTCTACTTTTGATAACATATCATCAACTTTAAATGTTTTCCTGGAAGAAATAGATAAACAAAACAATGACTTCTCAACTGGAAAAACAAACTATACTTTATTGTCACTATAATATGCAAATGAAAAACTGACTGATTCTTTTTCTTCCTTCCAGTAACTAAAATTTTATGGATAGTTAGCTGTAACAATGAACACTTTTTGAGAAAATGTGTATTGTAGTACAGTAGTTGTTTTCAAGCCCCAAAGGTTTCTATGAAAGCTCTTATAATTACTCCCGACCTAGATTGATTTCTCCTTACACATGGCACTTGGTTTATGTTTATTTTGACATTTAGTCTCCTACATATGAAACCTGTATAAATATTTTATTTCTCCTACTAGATGATAACTCCTGAAGGGCAGAGATTGCTTTTCTTCAAAGAAAACCATGTAGTGCTTGGCATGGTGCCTTGTACTTGGTAGGTAGTCAAGCATCTGTTAAACTGAGCCAAACAAATGCAAATTATATATATATTAAAACAATTATATTAAGTAGCCTGACAAATATATATGCTGGTATCAGCACATAAAAGCAGATATCCTACAAAATATATCTGAACTTCCTAAGGCATTCACAGAAACTATTAGCAAAGGCTAAAGTTAAGTGTTAGGTCATATTAAAGAAATGGTTGTTACCAGGGACATGCCCTTCAAAACAATCAAATTATTAGCTTTTAACTTGACAAGTTAAAAATAAATAAAAAGATAGAATAAATCATTAATGGGAAACAAAAGTTTCTCTATACTAATGTATTCTTTAAATTTAGGACTGTAAAAGCTGGATGTATTGCACATTAATTTATTACCTTATAAACCTGAATATAGATTCTAGTAATTACCTTTTATTCATTCCTCAAAAACAGCTATTATAATCAACCACTCTAATTAAAAACAATCAACAAAAAATGTTAATATAAATACATAGCAATTTTTAAAAGACAGGAAAAGTAGATCGGTACAATGTGTTTCAGGTGAGTAGGAATACTAAGTAGGAATAACTAAGAAATTCTATTTGTAGAAAGAAAAGCAAGAGACTATAAATCACAAGGTTCATCTCTTCCAACATGAAGTTGTGCACAGATTTGAATATTAGCAGCCATTTGAAATAGATGCGATCATAGGCATCTTGGCCTTCATTAGGGAAAAAATAAATGAAACACAAATACCATAAACTAGCCCCTCTCCCAAAACCAAATACTTATTTTCTTTAGAAAGGTAAGGCTATTCTCAAATTTAACAAGGGCGATAGTTATTGTCAGTCATAGCTGCCGAATCACATCAGACTCACAGCAACCCCAAAGGACAGAGCAGAATTGTCCCATAGGGTTTCCAAAGCTGTAATCTCTACAGAACCGCACTGCTACATCTTTCTTCAGTAAAGTGGCTGGTGGGTTCAATTCACTATGAAATATCATGAAAAGGGGGGATTTTTTTTTTTAATTAAAGCAATATTTTTATTCCTAGTTCAGAAACAACTCACACAAAAATCTAGTAATATGTAGTACCTCAATGCCTCCCTTGCAGTGGTCATGACAGGTTTTGACTTGCTGGGCAGGGTTCTGCGCTTGGAAGAACTGATCCAGGAAGGTTCTCCCTGGCACCAATCCCCATACTTAGGGTCAACAGAGCTAAATCGAATGGGAATTGAACTGTGTAGGCAACAACTCATGGGCTGTGGCTCGAGGTGCAACTGTTCTTGCACAGCTTCCTCATACCGTCAGTGTCCCAAGTGCTGGGTCACTGGAAAAAGTGATTATTATCAGCGTCTTACACTCCAGGGGGATGACTGACAATGTTTACTTTCTTGTGTCTATGGGGTTTTGTTTTCCTGCCGTTAGTATGCTTTTGTTTGCTGGTTGGTTTGTTGCTGCTGATGTAGTTGGTCTTATGGGGTTTTGATTTTCTCATAATAGGATTGCCAAAGTAAACCCGAGTTGTGCATTTCCCCAGGGACAAGCAGATGGATTCTGGGCCCCCGTTTAACTCAAGCCCCAATCCAAGAACAGTTAGTTCTGATAATATGGCCCTGCTTCATACTCATCTTCATGAAATGAACACTGAAAAGGGTGCTGTATACAGCAAAGTGTGGTGAAGAGAGTAGATGGTACCCAGCTCATTCAAACAAGCAGCTAAGTGAGGAGTCAACTAAGTCCACATGGAAGAAGCACACCAGCTTGTGTGATCCAAAGATGACAATAACAAAATTCAAATATGACGAAGGGAAATGTCTCAGAGCTTGAATTATAAACACCCAATTCGTAATAAGCTATGGAGGACAGTGGGAGCCCAAAACCCATCTGCAGAGTAACTAGTCAGATCTTTTTCCATGACAAAATTTCTTCCCTGGCTTTTCTTGCTTACTCATTATTTGTATTTTTATATAATTATTATTTTATCCTTACCACTTTATTTTGGTTTTACTTTTTGTTTCTGTTGGGTTTTCCAGTTTGTGAAGCACAAGAGTAGATGAACAGAGATAACTGATGAAAGGATTTACAAGAGATGTGTGTGGAGGGGGAGACAGGGCAGGTGAGAGGATTGGGAAGGAAGCAATATATGTGGGAGGGGAGAGGGAGCGCTAGAACTGATTTGTGATTACACAACTCATTTTGAGAGCAATTTAACCATTTTTTTTAAAGTTCTAAAATTGATCATGGTAATGATTGTACAATTCTTCTTGATATGCCTGAACTATTGAATTGTATATGTGAATTATGTACCAAAACTGTAAAAAAAATAATCTAGAATTCAATAAAAAAGGCCCTTCTCCTCCGTTAGACTTATGTTGTACCAATTAGTGTTAACCCACAGAATTTTAACACTTCAATGAAACGAGACTAGAGTATAAAGGGAGTTTAACAAATGACAAAATTATTCCATGCAACTGAATATGACTTCAAAGGAGTGACAAGTCTATTCCAACAATAGATACTATATAGTATTGTAATACTATGAGAAGAATTCCAAAAACATTTTGGGAAAAAGGTACAATCACAGGGCTAAATGTATAGCCTCTCCAAGACACCAACTACTATCAAAATTAAAGTTGTGGTATAACTTGTTAAAAATTAAATCTTATGCTACATAGGCCAGACAGGTTTTTACGGTATATTTGGTGAGTATATATGGTAAGTGATTCCTTTGTATTTTTGTACAGAAATAAACTAAGTTGGAGTTAATATATGTTTCTTGGCATATAAATTGCTTCAAAACTCAACAAAGTTAAAATTACCTGAATGACAAACATTAAGTAAATAGGTTTTTAAAACCCATCTTTAAAATTGGCTCTACTAATTGGTAAACCACAGAAATCCATCCCACAATGTGACAAATGGCCTAATAAACTGACAGGAAAATTACGAACTTTCATGTCAAATATTTATTTTTAAATAGATCTTTATTAACTCAAATTTATTTCAAAATAACTTGTTTTTTAAATTAAAATCAGGCAGCACCATAAAAAGCAATTCAACTGTCTTCCATATTAAAAACACTTTAATGAAAGAAAAAAGTCAACTACTGAATCAAATTATATAATTATAATCAATGCTCTTTCCTTAGATTCAGAAAGAATACTACATATTTTAACAATGAAATCCTTCAAAACAAATCTAGGTACATCTACAAAGTTTAACTAGTCTTGATGTAGAAAAAGTGATGCTTGCTTAATAACTAGTAAGAATCCCCAAAGTAGTTTTGTTTCTTTTGAGTGAAAAGATTTTACTGTCAAGACTAAAATAACACACAAACTGAATGCTAAAATGGAAAGGTATCTCCTTTAAATTTAAACTTGTTCACTTGAAATGCTCAGTAAATAAAATCTTGCATCTAAAACAAAAAACTGGTATTCTATATTATTACATATAACTCAAAAAGCTACATGGCATAGCATAAACTCAAGAACATTCACCCTGACTTCAGAAGCATTTCCCTTTCACTAAGACCATCACCAAAAATATTAAACGAGATTTTCTGAACTTAACATTATAGAAGCTAATTCTTTACTGTCAGGCATACAAGATGCTGTTAAATTACAGCAGCATTAGAAACCCAATCATTTCATTCATTTCACTACTGAAATTTCTAGTAGGAAAAGAACTTGGTAATAAACTAGAATTTACAAAAACAATCACATCAAAAATTACTTTGCAAGTAATTCAACAAGTCACTCTTCTACCTCAATTGTCATATTGATTATCTATTAATAATTCTTTAAAACAAAACTTCAACATGCTTTGGCAGTTTGAAATAAGGTTTATAAAATGTACCTTTTGATGTTTGTTCTGGAGTTTCGATGAGACATGTAAGTAAGAGTTCTGTGCAAAAATATTGGCTATAAAAAAAGTTTCAAAAATATTAAAATTAAATAACAATAAAGCTCTAAGAAAAAAATACTGAATTTGCTTGATTACTTACAGCTATGAGATTTCGAGTTCGAAGAAATCTATAGATCTGTGTTGGTTCTAGGTAACAGGAAACAAATTTCAAACATTATTTCAGTTTACTTTTTCACTTGTCAGAAAAAAATCAACTCAGCTTGTATTATCACCAATATAATCAATCGTCTGCTACAGAAATCACACAGTAAATGTTACATCCAAATTAATATGCACAATAAAATCAAAATATATACTAGCTATGACATCCATAGAAATTTTCCTCACTTTAAATAGAAGGTTCTTTATAATCTTGTTCTTAAACCTTGCATTTCTAAAATATCTATTGGACAAACTAGCCTATGCACAGAACTGGAAAACAGTAGTTAAATTTAACTAACAAGCTATTTATAACCAATCTCCTCCCCAAAAGCAGCTGAAATGTAGTCAAGAGTCAACAAAACAACTACCTGATGCCAAACAAGTATTTTGCTTTCTGATTGATGATTTTTAAAAACTGAATACTCAGTCAAAAAGGGATGAAACTTTTCCTAGAAGTCCTATTACAAATACATTAAAATTCAATATTAAACACTTAGAAACTGTAAAAGAGAAAAAAAGAAACTGTAGCTAAAACCCTTAATGAATATTCTAATTATAGTTTAAACGGATACCCATTTTGCTCAATGTAAATATTATTCCAACACAATACACAGCAACATGTATTTTAAAAGCAACTGACAGATCCTCACAGCAATCTTGCTCTGTAGCTAAAATTTAATTTGCTAGAATGGTTTAGATGAAAAATAATGTATATGCACATACCACACCAGTTACATTAATGAACTATCAGTATCATCACATTTCTTTAAATATAACAGTACCGAAGGAGCCATGAGTTAACTATTAGTCCATAATGAAAACAGTGAAATGTCCCAGAAACCAAGATCAATCAATACCAGCGCAGACTCAAGTTTGTGATCAGATATACAGCGCTGAGTGACAGCTGTTTTAAGGTGGACTCATCAGAACGCCTAACAGTTTCGTGGAGACTGTCTTCTCTAAACATTTAGAAGGAATGTTCAAAATCCCCACCCCATCTTCAATTAGTTCAGCTTTCCCTGCAAACTAACCCAAAAGGTGGGAATCTTTGAGAGGGTTACAAACACGGATGTTTCCCGTCCCTGTTCTTCAACACACTTCCAAGTAAAGTGGCTCCAGATTTTTGCAAGGAAATGAGAATAAGTGTGAATCTGTCTCTCAAGGAGGCTCGACCTTCACGTCAATAAAAACGGAAATTCCTTCTATAAAATGCCAATTAGAATTTCATGAAGGATCAACCAGGAAGAAGGCAAGGAAGGTATCAAACAATGTAAGTCGGCTTTCCCAGCCCAGCTGATACCATGCCCTGAACAGATGCCACGGTACAATTGTAAATAAAGCCCGTTCACTGCTAGGGCCGGGTTTATTCAAGTTTCTGGAAGCTATTTCGCTGCGAAAAAACACCCAAACTCGCACGTCCACACACAAGTGAAAAGGAAAACAATAAGGCTCCTACGGCCGACAGGAAAAGCAAGGGGTGGATTTGAGAGTCGCGATGCTGGTTTTTTACAAGTTCCATTGTTTGTTCCATAACACACCGGGCTCCCCTGGCCCAATTCGGTCCCCGCTTCGACCCGAACCTGACCTCCAAACGCAAAATTGACGGAAGAAAAGGTTCCAGAAGGAAGCCGAGTGCAGAGACCCAGGGCCCGGGAAGCGAGGCGCGTAGGCACTCCCCGGCTCAGTTTCGGGACCCATAAAATGGGTGGGTAGCACGTGAAACGATCCGAGCACCCCCACGCGAGCCAGGTGAACGCGCCGCCCCGAGGGAGGGCGACGGCAGTGCCGGCTCGTGACAATTGGGCTGGCTTGGCGGCCCCGGTCGCTCCCCGGGCTTCCTTTTGCCTCTCACCACCCACCACCGAACGGCGGGACTTGCACCGTCCGAACGGCAAGAAAGAAAACCCGAACTCGTGCTCCGGCTCTGCCCGCAGCCGCGGCTGGGGGCCGCCTGCCCCGAGCGTGGCCCCCAGTGCCCGGGCGCCCGGCGGGACCCTCGGGGAGCCCGGGCCGGCCCCGGACCCCGCGCTCACCTCCCCCAAAGGCCCCAGACTTCAGGTCCCCTCCAGGCGCCAACCCTGAACCGGGACTATCCCCGCCTCGACCTCTCCCTCCACTCCCCAACCGAGCGGGCTCCCGGGGGCCCCCAACAGGAGCGTCCCGTCCCCCGAAGCCGCACTAGGTGGTGATCCCTGCCCTCCACGCCCCGGACACACTCACTCTCAAAGGCCTGGAGGAAAAGCTCGTGGTCAGCCTGTACGTGCTCCATTTTCGGCTTCTTCACCGG